TAATTGGTAAACTAATCGATTTTAGATAAATTTGTGAAATTTTTGTTTTATGATATATTAAAAAACTGAAAACAAGCATCTTTTTATTCATAGTTTATTTTTCAATTTCTCTTTTCAGATTTAACTTAGAACGTTTTGGTTTTTTTGGAACAATTACCAACTTGGTTTTTAAGTACTGACCCAGATTTTATATCTCAGATATTGAGAGAGAAAAATGCTTTAATTCGTTTGATGGTATTGAAAAAGACTGGGGAAAAGTTGTATTGCTGACATCCGAAAATTCAAAAAAGTGCAAAGCTCGTTGGGATTTTTTTTTGACAGTATTTTTAAAGACATTAAGTATCAAAAGTAGAAAATAGTAATGACAGTTCAAAATAAATTTTCTCGTTTTTACTTGTAAATTCCTATATGAAAATTTAAGCTTCATGTTAGCGGAAATTGGTCCGCTCAAGGTCATTCGATCCCACCCTCACCCTCAACTTCCAACTTTCACCCCCAACCCTCAACCCCCAACCCCTTTTTTCGCTACCGAGGATCGAACCCGGGAACCGTCCGCTGTCGAGCTCCGACTTTAACGCCGATCTAACGGACATATTAAAAAGGGTAATTGTGTGTTAGATATTGAGAATGATGACTCATCTTTTTACCGAGGGCCGAACCCGGGACTCTAGAATATGGCCGCACTGTAGTCTTTTATCTGCGGTTGCGAGGCAGTGGCACTGCAAATTTTTTTGAGATAATGATGAATATATTAAAAAATTGAATCCAATAGCACATTTAATTTTTAAATAAATCCCTTTTAGATTGATAAACACTTTTTCAAAATAGGCATTTGTAAATCTGTCGTCGGTTCGCTGTTAACGGTAGCCACGTACTATAGGTACCGGTTAGACGACGCTTAATTTTATCGAAAGTGTCTTAATAGGCTCATTACGGACATCGGATGTTTTTGAAACGCAAATCATGAAATTTAAAATAGAAATTCATTTGGTTAGCGTAAATGAATTTTGTGTAAGTGTCTTTTTGGTTGATTTACATTAAAGAATCTGTTTTTAGCTTCGTGCCACTCGACTCTACAACACAATACCGTTCAGTGCCACGTCCGTCCGAAGTTTACCTTATAGGTGACATAAATCGGAATTTTCAGTTGTGCACTGGATTTTAGAGTTAGATATAGGTTATAGTTAAGTGAAAAGAAAATGTCTTTGGTCGAAGCGCTTATTGGAGCCAATAGAGCTTTGTTCACTGTTGTACTGGCTACCCCCAAAGATGATGATGACGCTGAGGGTACGAAAGAATGTACCCGAGCGATAAGAAGAATCCAAAAGGAAATGCGTGCTACAAAAACGGTGGGAAAAAAACGACGTCAGATAGCCCAAGTTAAATCGTTTCGGAGTCAATTTAAAGGAATGTTGAAGAGAGGTTCTGGAAGTCGACCAGTGACTGCGAGAGATCGCGTTCACTGGGATGACGTTAATTCAACATTTGAATAGCGCATATCTAACCTTCAACACAAGGACGTGCAGAGTTTTCTGCAAGATGGTTTCGCACTATTTCGACGACGTGTCAATAACGCGCTGAAAACGGACCAGTCCGTTAAGATAAACGCTGTCTTTGGGGGAGAATTCCAAATCAAAAAGGCTGATCAAATCCAAACGGAAATTAAATATTTTAAAACTTCGAAAACAGCAATCTACAAAGATACTAATTTACAACGATGGTTTGAGAGAAATGTTGTATTGCCAATTAAAACCCAATTAGAGGAGATCCAAGAAAAAAGATTCCGGACGGGTTTTGAAAAAAATCCTAAATTTAATGGTCAATATCAACAAGTTTAATCTACCTCACGCCGGAAGTTACCTGAAGTTACCGGAGTCCATAGCAAGAAAGCACGTCTGTATTAATGTGCAAAATTTTGATGAAATGTGCTTTGCCTGGGCCGTGGTCTCTGCTCTATTTCCTACCGGATCAAACTGTGGAAAGACTTCCTCTTATCCCTCTCCCCAGTCTGTTTTAGTCTTAAAGGTGTCCAGTTTCCAATGACATTGCGGCAAATTCCCAGATTCGAAGGTCAAAATAATGTATCGGTGAATGTCTACACGCTGTGGAAAAAATCGCCAAGTAGGTTTCAAATTGTTCTTGCTTATCTGACTAAAGATAAAAAGGTCAAGCAAGTTAACCTTCTACAGGTACAAAGTCAGTATTTTACCGAAAAGGACCCCATCGATTTTAAGCCCATTATGTACCATTATGTATGGATCTCAAACTTCGAAACATGATAGTAGAATATATTTTTGCGAGCCTTGCTTGCATTATTTTGATTCCGAGGAGAAATTAGCGAAGCACGCCAAGGATTGTGAGAAGAGAAACAACAATTTTGAAATTGCCAGGGTTTCTGAATAAGGCAAGATTTTTGAGCAATTCAAGGACTTTAAGGACAAAGAGAAGATTCCCTTTATTGTTTATTCCGACACGGAATGTTTATCAGCGCCATGTTCCGTACTCTCTGGCCTATTATTTTAAATGTTAATTTGAAAATTGTAATCTCCAACTTACGGACACCCACACCGTTCCTGTAGTGCTGCATAATCTTTCCTCGTATCGATCGACTTGCTACCTGTAAGAAAGGAAAAGTATATTTTCTTTACGTGGCACCAAAAAGACTACCTTGTGAAATTCCGATCCATCGACATTTTCGCTTTATGGCGAGCGGCCTGGATAAGTTGGCGACCAATTTGACGGAATACCGTATACTGGAGTTCGAATTTAGTGAATTGTCGGAGGAGCAAGCAAATATGTTGAAACGAAAAGGTGTCTTCCCTTACGGTCTTGACTTGCCTCTTATATCGGCATTCTATAACATATTGCAGGATAAACCGTTGACTAAAATAGATTACAAAGATGCTCATGAAGTCTGGGAGAAGCTTGGATGTCGAAATTTGCAGGATTATTCTGAACTTTATATGAAGACGGATATCTTGCTCTTGGCAAACGTTTCTGAGAAGTTTCGAGAAACAATACATAAGACTAAGCAAAAACCGACGCAGGAGGAATTCAGAAGTTTTGTACAAAGCATTACATAAGACCTATGGCCTTGATCCTGCACATGCGTATACACTGCCGGGATACTTGGGGAGCTGCATGTTGTATAAATTAAAGCAAAAATTCGATCTACCCTCCGACGTCCACATGATTTTGTTTATCGAAAAAGGAATGCGAGGAGGCCTTATTTAGTGCTCCAAATGATATGCGGAAGCCAGCAACAAATATATGCATTCCTCCAATCCCTCCAAAGATAACAAATACTTAATGCATTTCGACGTCAATAACCAATACGGGTGGGCAATATCTCACTACCTACCGTACGGAGGTTTTAATTGATTGGATGAACAGCAAATCGAAAATCGTGATATTGTAAATATATCCCACGAATCGGAAGTCGGCTCCATCTTGAAGGTCGATTTTGGAAATTGCGGATTTAACTCTATGTCTCGAATATCGCTGTCCTCCAGGATCCGAAAATCAAGAATTAATGACCATCTTTTACGATAAGCAGGAGTATGTCATTCACTATCGTAATCTAAAACAGGCCCTACAACTGGGAGCTAAGTTAAGAATAGTACATCGAGCCATCTCGTTTAACCATCCGCCTTGGTTAAAAGCCTATATCGACCTAAACATTGCACTACGCCGGTCTGCCAAAAACGACTTTGAAAAGTTTAAATTGATGATCGGGAAAACAAAGAAAAACATACGGAATCATTCCAACGTTAAGCTTGTGAAGAACTTGGAAGGCCACTACGGTGCGGAAGCTCTGATTGCCCTACCAGAATTTAAAGGTGCAACTAAGATTAATAAAAATCTAGTTCTTATCGAATTTAAAACAATTGACATATATTTTAATAAGCCTACCTGCTGGGATGTCAATTATGGAGATGTTATCCATAGACCCGTATGAGATTTTAAAAAAGGATTGGTTTGGTTATTTTTTTGCGAGATTTTAAAAAAGGATCCGTACGATATACCCACAGTCAATAAAAAGGATTTGGGGTTGATGAAGAATCAAAATAATGGACGAATCATGTCTCATTTTATCGGACTTAAAACTAAGATGTACCCCACAAAGCTATATATAAGCAAGAATTGATGACTGCAGAAACAGATCGATAAACATTTGAAAGTGAATTCAAAAATTTTGGTGTAACGGAGAGTGTCGAACTAAGATAACGTTTGAAGATTTCGTCGATTGTTTGCAAAATTTCGCTGAAAAAAACATATCTCAGAATTTAATGAGAGCGAGCAAACTGGAGTCGCACACAGTATCCGAAAAGAAGATCAGGTAAAGTCCTTGCGATGATAAACGACGCATATCAAAGTCACCGCTTGATTGTAAATGTTTTTATCGGTTTTGCTTTAAAAAAAAAAATTCCTAAAAATCGAATGAGGTGCGCTGAGTTCATATTTGACAGCCTCGTCATATTTAATTTATTTAATTCTATTTACCTATAGCGTTGTGTACGTGTCTACCGTTAACTGTCAACCGACGACTCATTCACCCTATGTTTATTGCGTAAGTCAGAGGTCGTGCCATAATTTGCGTTTTTTTGATTTAGAAAATTCCGTCTATTGCTCCCCTAAGTAAGTAGGTATTTAACTGCCAACCGCCTAAAAGTAAGGCTAACTATGCTTCAAATGACCTACCAACTTTAATTGAAATAGACTGGATCACTTTTAATTTAGTTTATTTATGTAATTTTCCATTTGGTTTTGTTGACGTTTAAACAAAGTGATGGGTATATGAATTAATAAAAGAATTAGGGGGCATTTTAAGGAATTGTTAGAAATAACGAGGTATTGTACAGGAAATGTAAGCATTATTTATTGTGAAGAGCTAGAACTATGCCTTTTGTCAAAACGACCTTGGCGCTGGATCACAACAAATAGAATTCCGTATGATGTCTTTCAATCATTAACAAAAATTCAAAGCACAAACCACTAATTTAACAGCCGTAAAAGTAGTTGTTTTCCACGCCGAAGTAATTGTCAAATTTGCAATTTTTATGATCCCACGCGGTCATATTTCTATAGCCGTAACCGAATCGGCAACAACCGCCTCCGGCGGCGCAACAGAAATCGTTCAAAGATTCATTAATTTGATAATAGTTCTCGTTCCTGTAATTCTCGTACGAACAGTGCGGCGCGTTCGCGTACGACTTCCTGGTGCAGTACTCGATGCCCGATCCGAGTAGCGCGTTGCTCAGTAACGTGGCCGTTGTTTGACTCAATTCGATGCTGAGGATATCGATAAATCTCGCTATATCCATCGGGCGACCTTCTTGGAGAGTCTGGCTCATCGCCGAGATGTAATTCCTGGCCAGCCGAAGCGTCTCTATTTTGGATAACTTTTGCGGTGCCGAATTCATATCTGAGTGGGTTATCTGTACCGGCATGCATCTGAAACCAAACAAAATATTTGCTATACGGGGTGATTCAAATTTTAAGCCATAAACTGAAACGGGACATGTTACGTTTCTTTTTCTTTTAGCTATACCCTCGTACCTCCGCCTGGGGTCGTTAAGGGATGATAGCCCCAATTTTGCCGCTGCCACTTCCAGCCCCGCATAAAGGGAAAGGGCTGTACACTCTAAGACTTATTGTTGTCTTGAACGTTTAGCTAATACTGTAAAATAGTTTCATAAAACAGAAGCTTGATTTCGCACGATATTTGTTAAATTACATGTTAGTATAAAAGAAAGTTTGTGATAATATTTCTAAATTTTAAAATGAAATTAACAAAAAATTGTAATTTATTTTACGGATTTTATAAAATAATGTGATTTTAAAACATTTATAAATATGTAAATATAAATATGAATAAAAAATTGTAATTTTTTTACCAAACGACAAAATGTCGTTCTGTAACAAAGGTGAGAATGAATTTAAAATCAAATTCCACAATTGGTTATTCTATTTTCAGAAAACCTACGCACACAGACTGATACATTAATGCATTTTCGCATTACTATCCGATTCAAAAATCATTCCTTATCAACTCTCCTGCTTACAGAACCGTAAAAATATTTCAACCTAAGTCTCCGAGCAAAGAATTAAAACACTTTCTATCTACTATTGTCTCTAATAATTTTCACATTAGATATATTAAGCACAAAATACATACTATACCATAACCTTCATAAATTCGAGACATTACTGACGAAATACATATTCTATGTAATTTATGCATATGTGGAGAGACAGCACCAAAAATATCAACACGATATGAAATCGGACATCATCTGAAAATTCTTGCGTGTAATGAATTTTTCTACCAAGAAAAATCCATCCACTGAAATCTATAAACAGCCCATCAATTTGAACCCCAACTCCTATTAAAAAGTATTACAGTGACCTACTGACAGAAAACCGACGGGACTATCTTGACGCACGAATTGAGGTGGAAGAAATAATAGAAAATAAAGTAGAAGAAATTAAGAAAGTAAGAAAAGCTCTTTAAAAAATAAAGAACAGGTCTCAGGACTAGGAGAACTACTTATCGACTTATTGAAATATGCCGCAATAACAGCGTTCGGTAAAATTTGAGTGATATTTAATAAATGCTTAATCGTGATCAATAAGAAGGCAAATAGAAATGAATGAAGAAATTATAGAGGAATCAACAGAACGTCGTGAGCAAGAACACTCTCCGGAAAAGTTCTAAAAGCTAAAATAAAAAGGGGAGTTGGGGATATTGAGGAACAAGGTGATTTTAGACCAGGAAGATCCTGCACAGATAATATATTTCAAGCAAAGGGAAGAGAACTTTATGTCACTATTATTGATTTGACTTTGGTTCTGCCCGCCTTCAAAAATTATGGATTTCCGTCAAGGAAGCAGTCGTTAACATAAATGCAATTAAAACGCTATACAGAGAAAACCAGACGAAAGTAAGAATGGGAGACCGGACCTCTGCACCCTTGCAACAGACAAAGGAGCGACACAAGGTTACTGCCTTCCCGCACCCTTCTTAAAATGTCCCTATGTGCCGCTCTAAAGCAGTGGAATAAAAAGTGAAAATACTCACCCTTCTATTCGCAGATGACCAAGTTGTTATCACCGAAGATGAGCAAGACATGACATATATGCTTAACACGGAGGGTTACAATAAGTGGGTTCTGGGAATAAACACAGAAAACACGCAAATATTGTTATAGGAAGATGGAGTCAAGATGCAAAATTGGAAAAGGGAATAATAAAAAATCTAATTCAGTGTACAATGTACTATTATTGGATCCCAAGCATACCTTTTTTTTGGGAGGAACAGTGGGGATTCCTGCTTGGAATCTACTACATATGCAGTTCGAAAGGTAATGCCAGAGAGCCTTAATGATCTGTAAGGTGGCGACCACGTGTCACTCTTTCTTTGCGATATTTCGAAAGCGTTTTTTACACTCTACCATTCAAAAATTTTCTACAAGAAATTTCCATCTTCTGCGAGTAACTCGTTATCGTTTAAATAAAACTAAAAATAACTTTTTAAAACTAGCATGTCACAATGCTTTTATAAAAAATATACAAGCTTTGAGTGAAAAAACCTTTCATAGGACAATCAAGCCAGTGTTTATTAATAATAGCTTCCATAGCAATAAAGAATATTTTGATTATAAATTCTAATTGGCGCCATTTATCCATTTGTTTGTTTATGCTATATTTTTGTGTTTTTGTACATATATTTATTTGTACAAATTGACATGCTACATACAATCTTGTATTACGTGGTTAAATAAGTAAACTAAACTAAATAACTCATAAAAAAATGTAAAAAACAAACAGTGGCGATGGCCGACGAAATTTAGAATACAGTGTAAAGAGGGGAAAATCTTAGAAAAACAGGAATAAATACTGAAGAACAGAGAATTGAAGCAAATGATTAAACACAGAAATACAAAGATTGACTAGAGCGATAAAAATAAACACTTACAGACCATATGTCTCGATACATAAAAGCCCAGTGATCTATTTAAATACATTAAAGAGATCACAAGAGAATTTAAGCCTAAAACATGGTCGATAGAGGATGAGAACGGAGCAGTGGTCACTGAAATAGAAAAACTCATGCAAGTTTGGCTACAACATTTCATTAATTTATACATAGAAGTAGAACCTATACAACAGCTCGAGGTTCCGTTATCGATCGAGGATATAGAACAATATTAAGAAGTGAAATAAAACATGTGATTCGACATCTGAAAAATAATAATAGTCCGAGCGAGCATGACATGAATATTGAAATCATCCCGCGAAAGGTATCGATCTCTTGTGGAAAATTTATAACCGAATTTGGCGGAGAGGATAGTGATCACGCGATAGGTGTACTTCTATTCTCATACCGTTGCATAAAAATGGACAAAAAGTAATAATTATAGAGTTAGTATTGATTTCTCATCCAAGCAAGATCATATTCAGGATCTTGTTGCAGAGACTTATAAACTTCTTAGAATAGCAAATTCCACAGAAATAGGCTGGTTTTCTGAACAGAAAAGGCACCAGAGATGTGCGACAAATTATAGAGAAAACTATATATGGAGAATATACATAACCTTCGTGGATAAGAGCAATGCACTTGATTGTGTCAATTTGCGGTAGATGGGAACACCTGGATATGTGATTTTCCTATTAAAACAAATATATAAAACTAATGAAAGTGGATTTGGAAGACCTATGAACCTTTTAACTTGAAATGTGGTGTACCTTATATGGAGAATATATCATATGGAAAATCTGGGACGGTTGGGAAGGTGGATTCGTCATAGACGGCAGAAGGATGGTCAATGTGACACCCGCACCACGCACTTATTGTCAAAGGCGAGCAGGAAATGTTGAGTTACTGAACGAGAACAGAGAGTGAGCTTGGAGTTTGGTCTTAAATTGAACCGTCGAAAAACGAACCTTATGCTAATTGACCGCACCTGCAGCATTGAAGAAATAACCAGCATTCAAGCTGTCGGGAACATTGAGAAAATAATCTACCTAGCTCTTGTTAAATAAAATTTGGAATGCTCGGCATATCGCAACTTCAACAAAATGCAAATTAGTCAACACTATCGTTTTTCCAATTTCCCTATATATAGCCGAGTGCTGGACCTTGAAAGTCACAGACATTGCCAAACTGGATGCCTTCGAGATGTGGGTCTGGAGAAGATTACTGAGGATACATTGAACATCCCATGGATCCAGCATATCTATACTAAAAACCAAAATCAAACAACAGATTCCTTAGTATTTTGGACATGTCAGCAGGAGGAAACATGACAATCTCTGAAAACTTGTAGTACAAGGAAAAGCTTTTCAAAACCGTTGCTGGGCTAGGTGAAGCAGTTTACAGAGAAAGAGAGAGAGAGAGAGAGAAACCTTGACTCACTTTTTGCCCAGAATATAATATAATATAATATAGTAAATTCTATCAATGTTTTCATGAAAATAATGTGCTTCACAGTACTAATGGACTGTCTTCTTATTGGCTTAGTGAATATCGTAATCGTAATAAATTATTGCGAGATGCTGTAGCCAAGTTTGTGCAACAACATCTAGCGATAGTCTACAATTACATCGTCGAGTCTATTCTTCATGCTGTACTGGGATCACACCGTCCTAATTGGCCAAACTGTGAATTACAAAAAAGATCGCCAAGTACGGCAGATCTCGCAAGCATGACTGGAGAGACAGTGGCAAATGGACACCGCAGTAATCCTTTTTTCTAATGTTCAAGATTACGTATTACATAAATAATGAGCTATTATCTTGATTCAGGTTTAAAGGCCGTCGTCGGTTGGAATTACTTCCTAACGTTTCGCTAGCACGAGTGGCGAGCTTCTTCAGAGGTCCTTCCATCTCCGATGTTGGACGTAGACGTTGAACGTTGGACGTTGAACATCGGAGATGGAAGGACCTCTGAAGAAGCTCGCCACTCGTGCTAGCGAAACGTTAGGAAGTAATTCCAACCGACGACGGCCTTTAAGCCCGAATCAAGATAATAGCTCATCAACGGGCCGCGAAAGCCTTAACCAATTTACATAAATAATGTCAATTACATAAGTAATGTTAATGAACCAACGCATTTTTTCTTAAATCCTCTGAAAATGCTTGTAGCCTCAAAAAAAATATTTTGAGAGGTGCCTCAATTTGGTTAATTTGCAATTTTTTTTATTACGTATTAATTGTGAACTTTGCTATTTCACGCTTTTTAAATATTAGTTTGTCCAAACTGGGCAAATTATTTTTAGTTATTACAAATGTTGTGCTGCTGGTTTTTAGGTAAGAAATGAAGCGTGTAAGTATATAGATGTAGACAAGGTTTGTACAATTTCACGAAGTCGAAGCTTCAAAGAGATAAATCCATTGACCGGATAGAGGTCGTTACATTCGGAGAACAAGTACATTCATTGTCTCAATGATTCACTTTTTTTTTTCAGAGGAAATTCCATTAATGTAGGACATTGAATGAATTGATGAATTGGAAATTATTAAAACAACTAATCACTTTAATTTTTTAATGAAAAATATTATCAGTAAAAAAAATGTATTTACCCATTGCTGGTCTGATGTTGCCATAGACATAATTCGAAATATTTGGATTCTGCGAGGGCACCGCGAAATTTTACGAATTTTAATATTTAAGTACGAATCTGCCCAATGAAGACTATTTAGACAAATAATTAATATAGGTAGCGTCATGGTTGATATTCTAGAATTTCAGTGAATGGACCAATAGCCCAAGGTTGCCGTGTTTAAATTGTTAAATTAAAAAATTAACCAAGAAGTGTCAATTTTTTTAGTTTGATCGGAGCTAATATATTGTAGGTTTCCTCCGAATGACAAATTGTACTATATAAAAAATACGAAGAAATGACATAAAAAATCACAGTTGAAACAAAATTACTCATCCAAGTTTTTATTTTCTTGATCTTACAATAATTAAGACCTGAATTATTTGTCCATCTCCATAATTATATTTTCAGATTTATTGTTTTAACAAACTACCTTTAGTAACGCCGTTGTCATATCACTTTCGTTCTCCTCTAACTAGTTTTCCTATTGTATGCAAATTAGTGTGAAGCTAATTTAGATTCGAGGTGCGTTGGTCTTAACAAATGTTTAAAAACTTTAAGTTGTTCACCCTGTTTAATGAACCCTGTCATTGCAAATTTATATTTTTTTACTTTTTCGCATCCAGAAAATTGTCTAAGAAAATGAGTTGAACCAGAAGGTAGTCTTGTTGATGATTTCAGGCTTTCAAGGTTTCATTGCAAATAGATTATTTAAGCAGTTTTGTCTATAGGATTAATCATCATAACAATGAAATTCCCTTCATTCTTGAATGCATATAAATTACCCTTCCTCCCTAATTGATTGAGTCGGAAAAAGGTAGTTTTGCCACCTTTTGAATTTGGCTTTATGGAATGTACCGGATTTTCCGCTGAGGGCAACGAGGTATTGAGAAAAGCGGATGTTCCTACACTCAGAAAAATATGCGTTTAAAATGCACAAGAAATCACCTTTAAATAAATCAACCCTTTTCTACAATTTAACTAATCGAATTATAACGTTTTATGTAGTTTGGTTTATAAATTATTAGTTTACTCGTTTGACATTTCCAGTTTTTGCGCCCGAAATCAGTTCGAACTGATTGTCTGTGCCCCACAATGAAACAGCATACGAAAAGCTTTTGAGTGTAGTGGCACTTAATTATACATATTAAAGTGCAGGAGCTTGTTTTTTTTTCATTTAAAATATTAGACTTGATAAAGCTTGGAAAGTTATGGTTTGGTCCGATGCTTTGCTAAAGTGTTTTTTTCATAAATATTGCTATATTCTTAAACGTTCTACCACTATTAGTTTTATACGAACCGGGAATAAGTTTTCTTGAATTTTAAAATCGTGGAGTTAATAAAGTCAACTGAGATCGTAAGTGAATGTGCGACTGCAACTGCACACCCTTAACATCAAAACTCCGTGAGATTCAAATCCCGTTAATCTTCAACCTCGGTCCGGAAAATTCCTATCTTAAAAGCTCGCACACAAACGCAACCACGTACCTCCTTAACGTGTCCAGGGCCGCATTCAAACCGTGCATTCTGTTCCTCTCCCTGGCGTTGGCTTTGTAGCGTCTCATTTTCACTTTATTGTACACCCTCGACCTGCCGTCTTTTTTCCCGAGGCTTTCCATGATGCCGTCGACGAAAAGCTTTCCCGGGGCTAAAAAGCTCTTTATATAAACTCTCTCTTTAACGCTATCTCGCTTGTTTGTTCTTCCACTTAAACATTTTTACGCGATGATTTTGTTCGGGGGCGACAAGTGCCAGCGACCAGGGCCGTCACGCGAATATCTTCGTCGATAATAGCAGGTTACACTATGACTTTAAGCCATAGCGACAATTAATCTACACCTCCAACGTTAAACGCTTTGATGTAAATGAATAATAAAAGTAATAACCAAAAGTATTGCGGAAAACTTTTTTTTTTCGAATTTAAAAACAAAAATATATCGACAATGTTGACTCCAAAAAACCATTCTTGGATTGTAAAGCGGTGTATGTTGGTCAGATTGGTGGATGTCAGAAAACGCCCGTTGCAGATTATAAAAAAACAATTAAACCAAGGCACCGGTTTTAGAGCATTTTCCTACCAAACACATTGACACATGACCGAAATTCGAAAATTATAAGAGCAGTATTAGTGAAATACCTTTAGCAGAAAAAAATTGTTCTCAGGCGCATTCATTATTTCGAAAAGTTTTCAGTTTTAATTGTTAATTGTTATGTATAGTCGTAGTAAGTTTGTTCAAAATATTTGGAGAGAAACGGGACTCTAAAACGATTTCAGTTTCCTGCGTCATTCTTTTTTGACCAACGATTCCCAAATTTTTTAATTGGTTTTGGTTGGTTTCAGTTATATCCCATGCAGTGCTCGCAGGATGACGTAATGAAATTGTAATTAGCTAGGATATTAGAAAGCCATAAATACGCTCTATAAAATATACAGTGTTTTCTAATTGAATGTCAATAAGAGGGGGCGGTTTTTGGGTCCATTTTAAAAAGAAAACTCTGTATGACCATGTGTCCGAAACATCTTAACTTTTGAGATACAGGATGGTTATGTTTTTATAAATTTATTTATTTATTCAATATATATATATATATATATATATATATATATATATATATATATATATATATATATATATGTATATATATATATATATATATATATATATATATATATATATATATATATATATATATATATATATATATATATATATATATATATATATATATATATATATATATATATATATATATATATTAAATAAATAAATAAATTTATAAAAACATAACCATCCTGTATCTCAAAAGTTAAGATGTTTCGGACACATGGTCATACAGAGTTTTCTTTTTAAAATGGACCCAAAAACCGCCCCCTCTTATTGACATTCAATATATATATATATATATATATATATATATATATATATATATATATATATATATATATATATATATATATATATATTTTCACGTATTGATTCACGGATGGAAAAATGTGAAAACACTTCGAACACTGGAGCGCGAGCATTGAAGATGCCAAGTGAGATTTTGGCGAAACGTCTGCAGGATTCCAGTCAGATGCAGGATTTGCAGGATTCCAGTCGAATGCAGGATTCCAGAAGGAGTTCAACGAGCGAACGGATGATATCCCGGAATATAGTGTCATCATATATATATATATATATATATATATATATATATATATATATATATATATATATATATATATATATATATATATATATATATATATATATATATATATATATATATATATATATATATATATATATATATATATATATCAACAATTTTTTCTGGAATCCTATGTTTGGTTGAAATATTACCTTCTTGTCCAATATCACTCCGAGATTTTATTCACATTGTTACTATTGACACAGGGAGTAGGGACCCGATTTCAAGTGATATATCAAGCGTTGAACATCTTCCTGTAACTTTACGCAGTCCATAGGTGGAGTAATTTGTCTGAAAATTTTTACGTCAGCATACAGACAAAATTTGCTATGCTGAAAACATTTCACTACATCATTAATGTAAATTATAAAAAACAAAGGCCCTGAATGGGAACCTTGAGTGACCCCGGAAGTGGAAATTTTTATCACGAATGATTTTCTAGTATCAGAAAGTCAATTAAAAAAAAAGTGTAATAAAACGTCATTAGATGCACAAAAGATATACATAGTGACCCAAGTATTCCTTGGGTCACTCTGTATACATAATCACACTGACCAATCAAACACATAACCACTACTGAATTAGCTAGAAAGTGTTTTATCATTTTACCAAAATAATTTACAAAAATTTCCCATTGTCTTTCTTTTTCTCCCTTTCTTGAGCATTTCTGAAACGTCCAATGAATATTCGGCATCAAATTCATTCGCGGATTTATATAGATTTGGATTGGATTCTTATCATATTCATTCTAGAATTAGAGTCATTACCTCCGATGCTGTTATTCAATATTTTGATTGGTGATTAATTGCAATGACTGAAAACAATTTTCGTTTAATGTATGAACAGGAGTTATTATTATTAAAAATTTTTTTTATTGATTTGCATGCCTCCACCTGTGAATACAGTCACTTTGGAAAATCTCTTTGATTTTATTGTATCTTTAGAGACTTTGTATGGCAAAATTGTATCAATATTCGGTGATTTAAATATTTCTGCGTAGTCCGACTTCCTAGACACTGCTACAAGTCAATGTGTTAGATTGCTTAGCAACTTCATGCACTCCCAAAGTAATTTGGTCAGAAATAGTAAAATTATGGATTTAGTGCATAAATCTCTAAACAATTACATGGCTGAAGTTGCAATTCGTCTGTCACTTCAATTTCATCATTTCTTAAATAGAAAACATGACATTCCTATGTTGTTGGATAATAATTTTAATTTAAAAAAAAACTAACTTTCTGCTCATTTTAAACTTGGACTGGTTATTTCTTTCCCATAATTATTGAGGATGCCTGCTTCTTGCTTTATGATGAACTGTATGAAATTTTTGATATATGTATTTCTCGTTTTGGAAAGTCAGCTAATTATAAGTATCCTCATTAGCTTAATTCAAATATAATATACAATATAAAAAAGAAAGCCGGATGTCATAAAAGGTTCAGAAGTACGGGTAGTTCCTCAAAATTTAAAATCCCTCAGCTTTCAGATAAAATCCGAAATTGAGGACTATTATAAAAGCTATCTACTTGAATATGAGAATAAAAAAGTTTCTAAGTTTCTAAAAAATGTTAGTCGTTTATTAAAAACAAAAGAGAAATGTCTTTGGCACTATGTTTTCGCCATTCATTTCCTAACGAGGGTTCTCTCAACAATTTTAATGGTGTTCGTAATTCACACCACTTTGAAAATACAAACATAAAGATATTTTGTTCTGCATAAACCGCTTCTAATAATTGTAATTTGTGTCTGGGAAACCAAGTCGTTCCTGGTACATGGAAAATATTAAAAATTATTTCCGTACACAAAAAAGACCGTAGGTCACAAATCACAAACTATTGGGCTATTTCCCCTATCTACAATTTCTGTCAAGTCTTAGAATCTCTCCTATAGGACCAAAAATTTCATGTTGTTAAGATTCAAATGGTTCCCAACAACTTGGATTTTTTAAAAAAGAAGATCCACTATTACCAATTTAACGACTAGGTCTCAGTTTATTTCTGAAGCTATTGATAAATGTTCGCAAGTGGACGTCATATATCTTGATTTTTTTAAAACCTTTTGATCAAATAGATAACGAAATTTTAATCCACAAACTCAGTGCTTTTGGTCGACTGTTAATTTGTTTTCTTCATATTTGTCTAACCGCACTCAGTACGTGTATATCTATGGTCACACTTCCGATGGTGTCAGTTCTTTGATAAATGCGGATTTTTTTTTTTTTTAAATCCGCTATTCAGAGGATTGTCTTACTTTCCAGCGCAGTTTGAAGCAAATCAACAACAAAATCTCTGGCGTTCTAAAATTCTTTGTGACTTGGGAATAATATTCTACTCGAAATTATCCTTTGTTAATAGGGTACTGGCAAGAGTCTCAAAAATCTATGGATTAATTGCACCAGAGACTTTAAAATTACAAAAGTGATAAAAATAACGTCAGGTCTAAGTTGGAGTATGCATCCTGGGTACAATTGTCATGTTAATAGCCAAAAAAAAATCCAGCCTAAGGTTTTGAAGTATGTATGATATAAGTTGCACAAGGCGCTTCCCATGCAAAATAATTAAATAGATTTGGTTATGTGCCTCTTATTGATGGCCACGATTACCATTATTCAATGATTTTATTTAAATTTTTAAATACTTTGTTTGATTACTCTGACCTGTTACATAGACTAAATTTTCTGGTTCCCCGTATTAACTCTAGAAATAGTAACACAATCTTTCTGCCCACACCAATTTTCACTTATTTTCTTAATGTAAAAATGTAATGTAAAAACGTTATTGTTCCATTAACTACATTTATTAATTGCAGTCTTGTCCTATTCTCTTGTTTGTTTAATAGAGTTAATACTTATGTTAGGTTACACTTTAGATTAAGTTTCGTGATGTCATTATTACTTGCAATGCCTTTGTCACTATTTAATCATTTGTACCAACAACCCACCTGTTAGTTGACCTTCATATCTGGTTAGGTTAAATAAATAAATAAATAAATAAATAAATCATTCTGCTGTAGTTAATTTAATTAATCTTATCAAGACCTTTGCACTACATAAGAAAATCGCAATAGGTGACATTTAAGCAGAAATTACCAAACTATCCATTGAAAAATTCACCTGAAAAATATCAGTGCGATGCGTTATAAATCGCACACGACCTGAAAATGTCGCCTGATACACATAATGAACCTACAAAATTGGACAAAAATATTTAAAATCTTTTTTTCTTAGAGAATTTAAACAAAATTCTAATACGTAAATATGAAATTTTTTTCTTAAAATGTGCTCAACGTTCACGAATCATTAAAGAAAGTTCTGTACATTGTTCTCTCCAGTGGATTACAAATTATGCAAAAATGTTCCCGGGAATTTCGCTCGGCGAATCGCGAAACCCGTACCTGTCACGGTATTATCCCTTCATAAGGC